TGCTGGCCTCTGGGACCCCCAGCCAGGGTTATATCAAAGCACAAGGGGTTATGCTAACTGGGACCACTGGCCACAGGAGCTCCAGCAGCAAGCAGAGAAATGCCTGCAGAAAGTGCTGGGCGCTCTTGGGCACAAGGACAGCTCACCCCACACAGTGCTCTTTGACCACTGCCTTTGGTGAGGAATTAGAAAACCACATTTGTGCAGGCAGCAGACGAGGAGGGCTGGGGGCTCTAGGGGAAGGAGCCACCCCCAGCCCAGCCATGGCCACAGGTTTTGCTGCCAGCCCCATCTCATGGGTGTGCAGGGTCTGGCAGGTGCCCACCCTTGGGCTCCATCATCCCCTTGGAGGCACAGGGACACGGCAGTGACCCTTAACGCCACCCCAAGCATGGTCTGGGGGGTTCAGCCTTTCTCTGGCCGATGGGGCTGGAGCTGGGGAAGGTCCTCACAGCACTGCTGGGCCCTGGGACTTTCTCATGGCGATCCCTGCTCCGTCCAGCGCTGTGTGAGCTCCTGGCTATGTGGAGCAGCCTCGCTTTGCATAGTGCTTCGCTCATCCTCAACAACATCCACATGTGGTCTTGGGGAGCTGCCTCTCCCCTCCAGATGTGCAGAGCGTGTCTGTGTGTCTGTCCCGAGACCTCGCCCTGCAGGCAGCAGCTCCCTTCCCTGCCTGCCCCCAGCTCCTCTCCCTTGTTTCAGCCTGGGGTGGGCTCCTGTGCGCTCATCTCTGCGAGCTGCTCCCTCTCCGCTGTGGGTGCAGTGCCCAGACTTGTGCCCTTATGCAGCCTTGCTTTATTTTTAGGGATATCTTGAAAACAGACTCATTTTTTCCCAGCCAGGAGCCGGAGCCAAGTTCCCAAGGCCTGGGTAGAGCTGGGTTTTTGGCAGGGCTGTTTCCTGGGCCCCTCGGAAACTTTGGGTGTTCTGCATGGCCATAGGGACCAAGGCCTGATCTCCCTTCCTGAGGGCAAGGCGTTTGAGGGTATCCACTGCTGCATCCCCATCCCTCCTTGGGCAACGCTGCTTGGAAGGAGCTGAGTCTGACATTCCTCTGTCGCACTGGGCTCGGGGTGGTGGTTTTTCGGAAGTGCTGGGGTTTAATTTCTGTGTTGTGTTGCTGAAAAGCTGTGTGCTTCTGGGATGAGTCAGAGCAGGCAGGAGCCCAGCGGCGCTGGCGGCGGGGCAGACGGAGCTGGTGATAAGGGTGCGATAAGGCCGTGAGAGCCCTGCTCTGGTGCCAGAGCTACAGAGAATGGGCAGCTCCCAAGCCCGCTGCCTGACCTCCAGCCACCCTGCTGTCAAGGAAGCAGGGAGGGTGTTTTTGGGAACTACAGCACTAGGAAAATCTGCTGTGTCAAGAGCGTGAGCTAAAGCACTTGTGGGTGGTGTTTTGAAAATGCCCCTTCTCTGTGCTCAAATGCCTGGGCTTTGCCTCAGGAGCAGGCAGGGAGCATAGCTGGGGGGTAGCTCCAGCCTTGGTGCTCACTCCATGCCTGGAGAGGGGTTTTTGGCCATCCGGCACATCCCATGGCAGCTGGGCCGCTGTGCAATCTGACGTATCGGTGGCGGCTCCCTCCAGCTGAGATCCCACTCTCTCCCCTCTTCCAACGATCCCTGTCACCTTCCTCAGTCTGGCTGGAAGCTCCCCTCTCCATCCCTGCAGTTTGTTTATCCTGCTCTGATCTCCGCTTTGAGCGGGGTCCCTGTCCCCTGTCTCCTGTGCCCTCCCAGCACGGCGCGCTGTGACGTGGGGATGGAGGCTGCCTTCCTCCCGGTCTCTGGCGGCAGCCCCGTGCTGTTCCCAGCTCCGGCAGCTCGTCAGCGCTGGCTGGGACCTGAGCACGGGCTGCTGTGGCTGGAGGAAACATGGGTGGGCTGAGACGGGATTAGACATGGTCAGGGAAATTCCAGCTGCCCCGTGGTTAGCACGGGACCGCTCCGGCTCTGGGAAGCCCGAAGAGGCCACGCATGCTGGCTCTCCTTAGCCATTTCCTCCCCAATATCCGTTCCTGGCAGCTGCTGGACTGGGTCTGTCCAGGAGAGGTGGGCAAGGGGGGGGACCTGGGCTGGGTGGTGGGGAGTAAGGGCACCTCCATGCACCCGTGTGGGCTGGCAGGGGCAGGGGAGGGGTGGCAGTGGGCACCCCTAAACAAGTAGATGGGATGGGCATGTACCCTGCTTTCCAAACACCCCTGGGTGCTGAGCTCCATCATCCCTGCGGCAGGGCTGCGGGGGAGGAAGCG